TACTACTACAGCACAATTTTTCTTTTCTTTCTTTGCTTTTCTTATATGGGGGTGTTGGATACTTTGGATTATACAAACAAAACAATTGAATGATTACTGAAGCGGGAAGTTTTATATTACAAATTGAAGACTTTAGCGTTGGAAGCTTAACACGGAGTGCACATTTGATTAGGCAAACCAACTTTGGGATTTAGTTATGGCTTACATTGATTAGATACTTAGATATATTTATTTTTTGTGAATTAGTTAAGTTGCAGTTGGGACAGAATCAGATGTGCATGAATTTTTTTAGTCAAGGCCTAGATTAGAGGTTCCTTGGGATTTTTTAGATATATTAGTGAATTACAGGAATAAGAAATTAAAATCAAAATATTTCATAAGTTACAGTTACAATTTTATAAAGAAGTTACAAGTTTTATCATATGATTAAGTCGTAGAAAGTTTTTTTTACAAGAGTTGGAGATAAATAAGATAGAAGTTACTGTGGAGGTTTTTCATTTAAGTTGGGGGAAGCAAATCACGATTGCGGCAATTTTTTATCCAAGTTGGGGGAGGTGGTCATCTATCATCTATTTTAGTGTACATGTTTTATTTCAAAGAGTTTTCGGCAGCGCTGAGGACAGCTTAGAAGTTGGGGGAGGATGTGGTAATCAAAATCTAAGAAGGGCTCCATCTTCAAGATTACATCTCTTTCAAGGACTACACCTGAGACTTTCTGGATTACTCAGGGATCTTTTTTCTCTGGTTACTTTCATTATCAAGACATACATTAATTTCTATGTTCTAACTTACAAACAAACAAAAATCTTCATAGGAGGAAACATATAGAAAACAGATTCAGTATTAGATTAATTCTCTCAATATGGCACATTCAGTCACAATCAAGATGATGATTATTTATTTCAATCCATTATAGTTTCTATTATTTGATTTCAACTTAAAAATACATTTGAAGACATGTATGTGAAACACAGACAAAATACCTACAAGCAGGATTCAAATCAAGCGACAAATTAAATTAAACACATACCTAAATTACAGGTCAAAGTCAAGTATGTCAAGTAAATAATAGGTTTGATTTTGGGGTTCAAAGTCAAAGGAGAAAATGAGAGAAGTTTCAGTAGAAAGAAAGTCTAGAGGGTCTTACTTACCAAGATAAAGATCCAGGATCGAAATTGAAATTGAAGTTAAACTGAGCTAGAGGAAGAAGAAACAACATATAGAAGAGTTGAGCTATCAGAGGCTGGAATCGATTTGATTGTAGTAGCATCTATGAAGAGATGAAGACAAGACTCACCTGTTCATATCTTAATCAAATATCAAAATCAAAATTGAAAGATGATAGGAATTTCGATTTTCAGGTCCAAAGATAAGCTAGATCAAGATTGGAACTCAAGATCTAAAGTAGATTGAGTATGTGAAGATGGTATTGAAAGGAGGGATTGATTTTGGGGTACAATCACTATGCAGATGAAGCAGTTATAGATTGGAATCAGAGCTGGAGATCAAAAAGTAGAATGAAAACTAGAAAGTTAACAATCAACATAAGATGATGAGCGATGAAAGAAACGAATAAGAGAAGAAGAGAAAGGTACTTACATAGTACATAAATGATAAAACTACTTTCAGAATGATTGGTCGGAGGAAAAGAACAGGTTGGGGTTTGGGATTGAGGAAAGGTATAAAGAGGGCTTCACTTGAGAGGAGAAGGGAGTTATCATCCATCAATCCATCAGTTTAATTTGTGTGTGTTTGCGTGTTTTTGTGTCTTTCAGTGTGTCTTGAGAGTGTGTTAGTTTCTTTTTTCTTTTAAAGTGTCAGTGATATCGAGTGAATTGTGTTAGTGTCTATGTTTGTGCTGTGTGTTTGAAATAGTCCTAAAAGTTATTGAATAAGAGTACAGTTTCTTTCAGTCAGTAAAGGAGCTTCTTTGATAACAGAGACAAAGAAGAGTAACCTTACCTTAAGCTAATTGTTATTGGGTGTTATTGTGTGCTTTCTTTCTTTTTTTTGCTGAGCTCGGTGATTGAAGTGTGTAGTCTTAAAATTTTGTTAGAGTATTATTGTTAATATTTTTATTATTATTACATTTATTACCTACAATCAAAATTTGGCCCTGATTACAAGTACTCAAACCTCCGGATAAAACCCCACCGTCAACAAATTATCTTCCCCCTCCTTACTACCTCAATTTAGCACGTTACAGGTGTCAATTACCTGTGAAAGGACTGTACAGTTCTGTGTGTAGTATTTTTAGACTCCGCCAAACGCTGCACATCCAACCGCGTGGTGTAAACTAGGTTTTGGAAAGCCTTAAAAAGACAAAGAAGTGAAATTGAGAAGCCTCATCTTAAAACTCGAAATCATTTTTGAAGGACAAGGGCAGCTTCACAGCGCCTGTAGTTTCATCTGCTCTCACAAGTGGTGATTCTTCCCCTCTCCAGCTCAGCCTACGCTACACTGCGTAGGAGTTCTACAATGTTCTGGTGACAGCAGGTAGAGAAGAGGTGGAATTGGCTGCTGTTCTCTTGGTCTTGTGTGCATATGGCCCTAAGCTACACTTGTAGTGCATGCGGGTCTTGCGCGTATCAGCAATTGAGATCTTGAAGCCGTGGTTGGCGGCATGATGGAATAGATACATTTTGATCGATTCAAGATTGGGATACATTGTATTGGTTTGAGGTGGTGGGATAGGGTTTGGATATTTGAAAGGTCAATCGGGTTTGATTTTTGTTGATTTGAGTTTGGGAGTGTTGGGGTGAGGGACTCACATCTCGAGGTTGAGGAGAGGAGGTTGATTTCTTTTGAGCATGTGGAGTGAGAGTTTGGGTCTTAGATGTTGTGAAGGGGGGGTGTTGAGATGATTGGTGTGTGAGTCAAGTGGGAATTTTCAATTATCTACTTGTGATCATGAATGGTTCAGAGGTGTCACAGCACCAACCTCAACGGTATATACACACAAGTGGGACTTGTGTGGTTTATAGTTGGTCACCTGGGTGGGAGTGGGTGAATTAATGACTTGATGACTTTTACAGTGTCAAGTCAGCGACTCCAGACTGCTGGCAGGTCTGTGCAGCATTCTGCAGTACAATATCTTAAGCTTTCATGCAGATGTCACGGTATTTCATTGTGGGATCTGTAAGGCACAGGTGGATTTGGCCCCGGAGAAGAGTACATGTACTCCCGCAGTTGACTGTATGAGTAGTACTCCACCTGGTACAGACATGGGAAAATGGAGCACAAGCTAGTTGACTAGTGTTAGCTAATAGTCTACCAAAACAAAGCAAAATTGTGACAATTGCAAATGAAAAGAGGAATAAAGTCTCTACCTAGTTGACTAGTGTTAGCTAATAGTCTACCAAAACAAAGCAAAATTGTGAAAATATGTCACCTTGGGGTGCTTTATTCAACCTTTTGATGTGCCAAATAGAAAGTGCAATACAGCCGTTTCTAGCATCAAGGCCGCTATCTTGAATCATCTCACTTGTCTCTTGATTTTGGCCACCCGAAATTGCAGAGACTGAGTTTTTTTGACTTTTACACATACAACTTGTCCAAATAAGGCTTAACAGGCTTATGGAGCCTGTACTGCACTTAAGTACACATCACACAGCTTAACACCTGTAGCTACCGGACTGTACCCGTAGCAGCCGGACTGTACCCGTAGCAGCCGGACTGTACCCGTAGCAGCCGGACTGTACCCCAAGCCGCCGGACTGCACCACTTGCACCAGTCAGTTCATTAACTTCGACTTTGCTCACAGCACCACCCAACCCACCTAACCACTCAAATCACCACAAATCACCACCACACCTTGCACCACACCTCAAATCATCAATTCACAATCACCGTCTACAATGGGACATAACAATATCAATCTCGCCGGCTATGATTCGGATATGTTTGGCCAACAAACGGCTTGTAAACGATGAAAAAACCCCTCACCACCTTGTCTGACCCGCGACAAAGCTTTTCAGATCAGTCAAGGTCTTGGTCTTCTTGAAACCTCACAAACTCCACCCCCACCTCCCTCTGAGACAGACAAGATCAATGTTTGGGAAGATATACCTGAAGCACATTATCCTCATGAAGAGATCAGGCCCAACTCTCCAGGCAATCAATATGCAAAGCATCAAAGATCTCTTTGACATGCAAAAGCCCAAGCTAGGAACCAAACCAAGTGGAACACCCTTGAAGCTCAACTTACTGCAACTTATCTTCACCTCCAGAACTCTACATGCAATTGGACCAAACCAAACTCTTATTGTACCCATGAGTTCAAATGCCAGTGTCCGCCTGATCAATTCCGACAACATTGTGTGGACCTAGTTGACATTCTTAGTAAGTTTGTCTATCAATTTATTTATCCTTTTGTTTCAAACTAAGCCTTCCTTCTGCTAGGTCAAGCCAGAAAACGTTGGGTCACGTTTTGTGACTGTGTACCGGACGTTATTTGCTTGCTCCACCTCGGTTACATCACTGGCTCTCCTCATTTCCCTTGCACTGGCTTTTCTATCCGGCTGATTCAATTCCAACATCAAATCTGGAACCACACTTAGATATCAACTTCTGGATTCATTGAAGTACTCATGGCATTTCTCGAAGTACAATGCCCTGTCAGATTGACACCTCAACAAATAAAGGGTATTACAAGAAGAACATTAATTGAGGCCTAAGACGGCCTTTGACCAAAGCAATTGACATATATTGACGAATACTAATTGGTCAACAAGAAATCTACAAAGATGGTCTTCAGCTCACCCCACTCGTTCTCTCTGCCGCTTGATGTTCTCGGTGCTTTGGTCCAGCAGCGGGAGAAGTCAAAGATTCTCCAAGCAAACCGGACTTCATTATTGCGATGGATGGGAATTTCCAACATCTCCACCAATCACGTGCTAGCAAGGACTGTCCGGAAGAACATCAATACCCTGACTTCTTCATTTGAACCAGCGGGCTCAATTCACATGCTGCTGCCTGCCAACAGACCAATGCTCAAGACAATGACATCAAGGTAAGTATTCTCAATTGCTCATCCTACCAAATTGCCATGCTAACAGTTTCTTTATTGCAGACCTTGTGTTTGGATTCCCATACTACGGCCAACAATGTTTGAAGTGGCATGTCATGGAATAGATGTGATGATACAGGCCTTTTTGCAAGCGCCTGTCGCCACGATGTACCCCTGTACTTTGTGAATATATATCAGAGTGGTGAAAAGTGAGTTTTCAATATTGAACTGGAAGCTTCAAGAACTGACAGGTTTATTTTGGATACAGACTGCATTTTCCTGTGACAATTGTTAAAATGCTTCAAAAACTCTACCCTGACAAGCAGATAGGTGTACTATATGATATTGGGTGCCACTTAGGCGCACATATAGTAACAGTAAGCCGTTTATGATTCTGATATATCCTCAATGTGATACTCAATCTAATGAATATGAAATTGATCTCCAATATTAGCGTGAGCTGTTTCCCCCCAACGACCTCAAAATGATGTTTGGTACCTTGGTTTTCCACGCATATGTGCATAAGTGGGATTGTCAGATCAAGTTCCACCCTTGCTTCAATAAATACTGGGGACTTTCCAACGGTGAAGGCCTTGAGAGGCTCTGGTCGTTTTCATCGGGTCTTGTAGCACCTCTTCGCATCTCTACTCGACTTCATCCCCTCCTTGCTATACATTGGCGTGCCGTGTTCTATGCTTCCAGGGTTAATGAAGGATGTGGTAAGTTATACCTCTTGGGTTATACTATTGTATACTGACAATCTGCACTTCATATAATAGGAAATTGGCTTCAAAAAATACCAAAATGTAGTAAAAGTTTTGAGTGAAGCTCAAACTGCTCTAACCAACCTTTATGGAATGCCCAACCCAGCTGCACCAGGCCACAACTCTTCAGCCAAGCTCTTCCGTGGGCAATGGGCTTTTGAGTGAGAAGCATATTCAAGTAAGCAAGAAATCGTACAGAGGAAGAAGTTAGAGCTTGGTCGACTGCTATGCTTACAAGAAGAGCTATGTAGTGCATGGTAAGTGGTTTCTAAGTGGTTGCATACATCCCATAGGACAACATTAACAGTATGTTCTTGCAGGTCAGTTCCAGTACTTACAGCCAAACAGACTATTGTCTGACTTTGAACAACAGCAGAGCTCCAAGAGAAAATCAACCGGCAGGCCACAAAATTCGGGACAGCAAATGTTCCAGTATTTGAAGAAGAGCAGGAAGCATTCCTGATGCTCTGGTACAGCAAACACAAAGTTGGGCTGAGGTTTATCACCATATGCAAAGAAAAGTGACCACTTCAACAGAGTCGCACTGATGGACATTCTTCAAATCTAGGTAAGTCAAGAAATCAACACTGGTTCAATAGAAAGCTCAATACATTTGCTGAATCTAGGTCATAAGGGTCAGACCAACCTACTCTTGGCGCTTCGGAGGCACGCAGTCCAGCTTAAGAAAGTGGTTGAGACATATTGCACTCAACGGGCTCAATATCATGCCGATTATCCAGATGACCCGCTCCCTGAAGATGTAGAATACACCAAACTATTTCGTATTGAACCCAATCACCAATTCTGGCATGATTCACTCTTCACTAAATTTGAAGCACCTTGGGCAGTGGATCCAAAGACGAGGCTAGGAATGCAACAGATAGTGTATGCTGATCGAGCAAAAGAAGAGATTAGGCGTCTTGGCTGGGAGGCTTGCCAAGCTATGCGTTGGGCAACAGCTCCCCACCATCACAACATCACCACTCTCCGTGCTCTAGAGTCTGCTAACAACAATCTGTCACTTCCTATCCTTTATCACCCAACTCTTGCACATCTACCACCACAGTCTCGTCAATGTGCAGCCACTGTTGTCATCAAGAACAAGTTTCTCAAAATTACCAACCCTCAGCTCTTATGGCACGAAGGGCTACTCAATGTCTTTTCTTGAACACCAAGCCAACCTGGTGATGAAGACCTCAAGAAAACTTGGAACAGCCAACTAGATTACATCTCAAATCTCCACAAAGCAGGTCAGATATGTATGGTACCTGGTGATTTAGATATCTGAATTGGCTCCAATGTGATTCAACTGGAAGAGATTGAACAGGAAGAACAGGGAGAATCTAATGTTGTGATAATTGATGTTGATGAAAGTGACAGTAGCTCTGATGGCAAGGATGATGACAAATTTTCTGGGCTTGTACATCAGCTCGATTTGGCAGATATCAGTTGTGCTGTAGACCCAATGACTTTGTTTATGTAGTTTGTTGTTATATTTTCTGATGCATAATGACAAGTTCATGTATTACCAAAAACATAACATGAAAACACAGTGAGATACTCTTTTTGATAGAGGCATTGAATATAAGAAATTATCTGCTGCCATATGGATCCTTTCACTGTCATCTCAATGCTCTCATTTTGGCTCAAGATTTCATTCTACTTCATATTGTATTTTGTTCTTTTGATCTCCCAATAGAAACCCCACTCATCCAATAATACTATTTGCTTTTAACCCAATAATCAACTCATACTGATACCTCCGGAAAACTACATGAGTTCAGGGAATGGTAACTATCTTATTACTCATTGTTGACTTTCTTTGTAGTCATCAATCATGAATGTTCAAATACATTTAGGATAGATATTGTTCCAAGAACCAAGATTCTGGGAATTAAAGACAACTAATCAAATCCATAAGACTGCTATGTAGTATGATGAAATGATAGGTACAGGTACATTGGTGGTTACCAACGTACATTTGAGATAATCCTCTTCAAGTCCACAAACCTGCTGTGAGACTTCCACTCAGTAACCATCTCTGAGTGGTGTAGGTGGTGACAAAAGCACTGAGAAAGTTATGCAAAACCTATGTTTTTTTGACAAAAACATCCCCGGGGGACCTACTATCACTTCAATGGAAGGTCAATGTTACTCATACCATTTACTCACTCAATATTGAGTCAATGTTGAAGCTGTGATAATGTAAATTATCCAGAAAGAATTTTCATGAAGGGTTTACTAAGTCTTATCCAAGATCTGCTGTTCTTCAAGGTCATATGCACTAAGAGTCAACATGAACTTGAAGAAATAACCGCTCAAAAGTGGTATAACTCAGCCAAAACCGATTTACGGAATGCGAGAGGTGTCAAGGTGACAATGCAAAAATCAAAAATCAAAAATCACAATTCCCAGGTGCAAAATTCAACAATCAAAGACAAAACTACAGAAATTACTCAAATACAGGGATAAAACCCCTGTACTGGAGTAAGAATCAAGTCAGAAACCCTTTTCAGACCAGGTTACGGCCCAAATTTCAGTAGATTTACAACTTGAAACTCAACATTTGTCACCCCATTGTCGCATTGACACAAAAATGACCAGGAAAACCACAAAAGAGGAAATCAAAATTCAAAATTCAAAAGTCAAAAGTTGATAATCAAAAAACCACAATCAACAAACCATAAACAAAGACCCCAAATATGAAAACTTCACATTGGATGATGAAAATTGTACAAACCACCTCTCTACCTCTCAACCAATCACATAACCCACACACCACATACCATCACCAATCATCTTAGTCATTCTTCCAACTTTTGTCATAGTCTCCACCCATCCACTTGTTCAACAAAACCTACACGACACTGAACTTCTTTGATTGTCTTTACTCTTCTTCATCCTTATTTGATTGTCTTCACTCTTCTTCATCCTTATTTGATCGTCTTCACTCTTCTTCATCCTTCTTTGACCGTCTTCACTCTTCTTCATCCTTCTTTGATTGTCTTCAATCCTCTTGGATATTTGTGGATTGGCTTCACCCTTCTTCAATATTCTTCGATCAGCTTCATTGTTCCTTAGTATTCTTCAATCAGCTTCAATCTTCTGTAATCTTCTTTGATTGGCTTCCATCTTCTTTAGTATTCTTCAACGGGCTTCAATATTCTTCAATATTCTTCAATTGGCTTCAATCTTCTTCAATCTTCTTTGACTTTGGTTTCTCAGATCTTAGTCTTTCACCATCATGAACCGTCCCACTTGTCCCTTATGTCAAAGTACTCTCCGTCAAGGCAAACACAAAATATGTGGACCCTGCCTTGAAAACATCAATGCGGACCAAAACAAAAAGGGACCTTCTCCCCTCCAGCAGGCATACACCCAACCTTCTCAACCCCGCCCTGCCAACCTCAAGGTCATCAATGCCAAAGCCGCTGTTGCAGCCCGTACCGCAACTTCCACTGGTACTCATGTCCACCAACTTCAAAGCAACAAGTCAAAGCAAGCTGCTTCCAAGAAACAAGCTAGCAGCAACCGCATGTTTAATGGTCACCCAGCAGCACCTAAACCTCCACCTTTCACTACTCACTCTGGCCAAGTATGCTCTGTAGGATGGATGATGATATACAAAACCAGCTCTTTCACTCAAGGTCTACTTCGGGGAACTTTCACCGTGGATAGGTCCTTGTTGACACTCTTGGACAACACTAAGGAAGGCATCTTCAGCCAGTGGGACCACTATATTGACTCTCCTCTTTACCCTCAGGCACTCAAAGTTTACAACTCTGAGTATTTCAACCTGGCCAAAACCGGCCTTGCCTGGAAAGCACCTGTCGTCTTACATAACAATGAAGTTTTTGCCAGATATCTTGACAACACTAAAGGAGAACCTAGCCTTGAGCTAATTTTTCTGGCTGACAAATATGTGAAAAATAATCCTTGGCTTTGACCTTCCACCAGTACCAGTAAGCGGGTACAACCTCAACAACAAGCTAAAAGAAAGGCATCTCAACATTTGACTTATGAGTAGATGTTATTAGATGATGGAGATGAAGAAGGGAATTATGATGATAGTGATAGTGATAGTGATCTGCCTTTGATATTCCAGCCAAGCAAGAAAGTCAAGTGTACACCTTCAACTTCAACAAAAGTCACCTCACCACGAGTCACTCAAAAGAAGGCTGCTAATTTGATATGCAAGAATAGTACTTACACACTCCCACCACCCATCACCCCACAAAAATCTCTCCACCATGCTCAGAGTGATGTAGGCCCTTTAGCTATGACTCATGTGATACCACCTCACCAGACAGGTAAGCTCACCGCTCTTGTTCACTACTCATTTTTGGTCTGGCTGACATGGCCTCCTTAGTACCGGCTTTTGATTTCAGAGAGGCTATTGATATCTCCGTATTTGGACAAAACCTTCCCAGGGCTTGCCCTGTTCCACCTGCTGAGAATTCAGATGGTTTCACCATTGGGAAAAATGCATTTTGACAGGAGATGCGGAAGGTAAACCTGAATGGGTGGTAACACCATATCATTTCAAATTTGATGAAAGTGTGGTGATTGGAAAAGTTTCTCTCAGGACATGTTACAATGCCTTTGGAAAAGCACCTGGTGGTGAGGTCACTCCAATGGTTGCCAAGAAGCGGAGTGAGCTGCCTCCCAATATGACTCATCTGGCTGTGCATAAAGAGTCCGGTCAAGTGTATGCTGCTGTTTCCATGGTGATTGAAAAGTTTAAGAAAGCTGCTTTGGGTCTCAATGAAATTCAACTTTTCCCTGCCACGGTTGACGCTATCCAAAACATTTGTGTGAGTCCAATATATGGATCCGATTTTATTCAAGCTTTCTCCATAACAAGTTTTTCTTTTCCAGATGGTTCATAACTTTCCGGTCTATGCAGGAAGCGGTGCTACAACAGAATGCACTTATTTCTTTGGAGAAGTACTTGATGTTACACAATACCGCAAGTATACCAGCAATCACAACTTTGAACTCCGGGGTTCTGACAGTCCTTTGGTGAATGAAGTAATGCAAGCTCTCAGTCATTGGTCTCATAAACACTATGACAGAAGAAGAATGGTTGCAGATCTTCAGGGGGTAGGTTTGGTATTGACAGACCCTTTGATTGTGGATACAAGCAAGGAAGTACTTTTGTGCTTGCATTCAAACATTTTGCCTGACTGTTTGTTTCACCCACAGTATGGCTTGGTGCAATGGAAACACTGGGAGGAAAGGCTTGGAGAATTTCTCTACCCAGCACAAATGCAATAACACTACACAAATTTTCATCTTTACCGGGCGGTAAAGAAAACTACTGACATAGGAAAATGCTGAGGCAACAGTTAGAGAGCTAAAAATCTTAAAAAATATGCACCTTGTTCCTGATGAGGGGGCGTCATGATGAGTATTTTTTATGAGTATTTTTTTGTATTTTACACACATATATTGGTTAAAGCACCAACAATAAAGGCTGAAAATCATCAACAACCCACCTGTAACAATACCTGAAATTTGGGTCCTGATTATGAAGACAATATTTTGTGGTCCGAAAACTTCAATAACTTTTGCAATTCTGCTACAGATAACTTGATTTTTGGATCATTCAAAAGCTGAACCCTTCTCATTTACACTTCATAGAGGAAGTAAGGTATTATCTAGTCATGTAAACGCTCTACATATGTTCAAACAGTTCTGAATAAATATCTCTGTAGAATCTTTTGCAGACCGGCTACAGACACTGCGAACATAATGTATTTTTCCAAGGTGAAAAATGATTACATTTATTTCACAAAATGATTAAAAATGCATTAATTCTGCATTAATTCTGCATTTTTCTGCATTAATTCTGCATTATTAATCATTTTGTGCATTAATGTCAATCATTTTTCACCTTGGAAAAATACATTATTTTCACAGTGAGATGTGATGTCTGAATGATGAATGTAGAGGAAAGACTCACCTTTTTGCACTACCCCAAATGACATCTTTACCCAGGGGTATAGAAAAGTAGTGCGGGCATAGAAAACTATGGGTGAAGTGCTTTTCTATACCCATAGAGATAGTATCCCCTATGCTATACCCACGGATGAAAATATCCACATGACCACAAGGACTGAATATAAATCTAGACTCAAAGCCCTTCTCGAGTCTTGTCCAATGGGA